GTCCGGTACGGGGGCAACACTGAGGGTTGCGATCCGTTGCCGGACACGGAAAAAGACAAAAGACAAAAAAAAAAAACCAAAAAACAAAGACAGAAAGTAGAATGGCAGTTGCCAGGGGCTGGAGGAAGGAGGGAATGGACAACATTATTTAATGGGTACAGAGTTTCAGTTTGGGAAGATGAGAAAAGTTCTAGAGATGGATGGTGGTGGTGAGTACACAACAGCATGAATGTAATTAATGCCACTGAACTTAAAAGTGGTTAACAGGGTAAATTTTTGTTATGCACATTTTACCACAATTAAAAAAGAAAAAAACAATACTCAGCTGAATCAGGTTCATTTGTGGTGGATCACAGTAATATCTGTCTTTACTTTCATTTATAGTAAGCTCACGACTTAAGTTTTATGTTTGCTTTCCTAAAAATTTGGTCCATAATCACTGTACAAATCTTTTTATCTTTTGTCTTTTTCCGTGTCCAGCAACGGATCGCAACCCTCAGTGTTGCGCCCGTACCAGACCGGGGACCGGTAACGGGATTGCAACCCTCGGCGTTGCTCCTGCACCTCGCTCAGCCAGTGAGCGGAACCGGTCTGTATGTGGGATCCGAACCCTCAGGCGGGAGCGCCACGACGCTTCCCAAGCGGCGCACTATCCAGTGCGCCACCGGGCCGGCCCCACAAATCTTTTTACATAGAGTTTAAATGTCAATCTTCTTATTGAGAATTAAAAGAATTAAAATAGAATTTGTGAAGAAAAAAAGGAACTTCTTCCTTCTATCTTATAATTACCCTTCATCAATTATCTTTAACTCTAAATCAGCCTCCAAAATAGAATTGAAAATAAATGTTTCAAAATCGAAATGGCTAGGGCTGGCCCGTGGCTCACTTGGTAGAGTGCGGTGCTGATAACACCAAGGCCTCGGGTTCGGCTCCCATATAGGGATGGCCGGTTCGCTCACTGGGTGAGCGTGGTGCTGACAACACCAAGTCAAGGGTTAAGATCCCCTTACCGGTCATCTTTTAAAAAAAGAAAAAAAAAAAAATCGAAATGGCTTCGTTCCTGAACAAATGTTTCAAAAGTTCAGGAAACAAGCCACTTCGATTCCATAAATGAAGCAACATCTAGCAAAGAAAGTTGACATATACATCAATTTATACTTCTAGTGTAAAGTATAAAACTGTCCTTCTTAAACTGGGGGTTTTATGAAATCAGCATATTCCAAAGGTATTTACAAACCTTTGAGAGCCTTCTGCAATGTCTCCAAACAGCTGACCAAATGTTGATGCCCTCCAGAACTTATCACAACCCTCTTCTCCTGTATCAAGTGGGAAAACATTTGAGGTAAAAATCAACCAAGTCAACAGTGTTTCAGGTAAACACACACATTATCTTAGTAGTAATAATTCAAGATAGTATGTAGATTCTATATAGTATACAGACTCTTAAATGCTACTATGTCTACCCACCCAAAGAAAGAAAAGTTCATATACATGGATACATCCATATCCATATACATGAAGGTAGAAAAAGGTATTCCCAGATCTAAAATAAGGTAACCTTCAGGGAAAAATTAGGAAGAATAAAAATGTAATAGATGAGATCTGTCTCCTGTAAAAGTGATTACATCCTAACAACTAACAAGGTGATTCCCACAACTAACAAGGTGATTTGCATATAATCTGAGAAATTAACCAAACCTTAGTGAAACTAGATTGACTCTAAGAAAGAGAACAGGTAGTCCAGAAAAGGGACTCCCAAAGAGCAAAAAAAATTAACAGTTTTTCTAACCTCATCTGGGGAAAAAGTTTAAGTCACCAGAAATGTGCACAGTTTTATGGTACAAAGGTAGTTTTTCAGCTTTTCCTGTACTAAGTAAATCCATCCCTCTACTCTAATTCCACTCTCACAAAACAAACTGATTTATTAATAACCTGGCTTCCCTAGTACCCTGAACAGAGAAGGTGTGCTCTGGACAATGAGTAACAGTACTCTGGAAACTGAAAAGATAAGCCCTCTGTTGTAAATTAATAAAATGGTATTCTGATTTACATGCTAATCTACTGAGATTCGATTAGTATGTCAGTTGTTGAAAACTCTTTAAAGTCTTTGTTTTTTTCCTAAAAAGATGACCGGTAAGGGGATCTCAACCCTTGGCTTGGTGTTGTCAGCACCACGCTCAGCCAGTGAGCAAACCGGCCAACCCTATATAGGATCCGAACCCGTGGCCTTGGTGTTATCAGCACCGCACTCTCCTGAGTGAGCCACTGGCTGGCCCTCTCTCTCTCTAAAGTCTTGATGTACCAGGGCTGGCCTATGGCTCACTTGGGAGAGCATGGTGCTGACGACACCAAGTTAAGGGTTAAGATCCCCTTACCGGTCATCTTTAAAAAAAAAATTAATAAATAAATAGTCTTGATGTACCAATAAAATTAGATTTCTTAATCTGCGCAACTGAGAAGTAGACAAGGAAAACCAGGTGACCAAACCAAGATACTGGTACCCTAAGAGACCCCTTAGTAGCCACCTGGAAGGCCTCTATCTTATGATGTCTCTCTAATGACAATATCACTTATGGAACCTATTTCAAACTAGAATATGATTGCCTTGGAGTATAAAAATGATGACTTCTGAATTTCCAGACTGGAAAAATTGCTTTTAATCTATTTAAGACATTTTTAAAAAATACTTCTTTGGGGACGCCCCGTGGCTCACTCAGGAGAGTGCGGTGCTGATAACACCAAGGCCCCAGGTTCGGATCCCATATAGGGATGGCCGGATAGCTCATTGGGTGAGCGTGGTGCTGACAACATCAAGCCAAGGGTTAAGATCCCCTTATCGGTCATCTTTAAAAAAAAAAAAAAAAAAAAAAAACTTCTCTGTACACAAACCTGAGCCGGAAAATACACATGCATTTGTAGAATTTACAGTTACAGAAATTCTTTAGCAACATGCCATTTTGATATCCATTATCTCATTCGATCCTTAAAAGCTATGTGAAAAAGCAAATTGGTATTATGTGCCTCCATTTTCCAGATGAGGAACTTGAGACTCAGAGAAATTAAATAATTAGTCCAAAGTCATATAGGTAGTACGTACTGGAGTAAAGCCTAAAATACAGGTCTTTTGACAGCAAATTCCGTTCTTCTGTTAGTGCTATATTGATATGATCATTTTAAACATTGCAAAGTCTACTAAACTGAACTTACTCTAGACCAAAGTAAAAGTTGGTGGGGAGGAGGGGGTATTTTCATTGAAGTACATCATATATACAGAAAAGTATACAAATCATAAGTGAAGAGATCACAAAGTGAATACATCCTGTAACTACTACCCAAGTCAAAAAATAGAAGTAGGGGCCGGCCCGGTAGTGCACTGCTACAGTGCGCTGCTTGGGAGCGTGTTGGCGCTCCCGCCGAGGGTTCGGATCCCACATACAGACCGGTTCCCGCTCACTGGCTGAGCGAGGTGTGGGAGCAACACCGAAGGTTGCGATCCCGTTGCCGGTCCCATTCCGGTACGGGCGCGACACTGAGGGTTGAGATCCGTTGCCGGACACGAAAAAAGACAAAAAGGAAAAAAAAAAATAGAAGTAAAGTTTTCTTGACTACTACTGGAATCATATGAATAAACTTCTTTCTTCTTTTTTTTTTGTCTTTTTTTTTGTCTTTTTCCGTGTCCAGCAACGGATCGCAACCCTCAGTGTTGCCCCCGTACCGGACTGGGGACCGGCAACGGGATCGCAACCCTCGGTTTTTCTCCCGCGCCTCGCTCAGCCAGTGAGCGGG